GTTGCGCCTATGCTGAGTTTCCAATAAAAAAAGAAAACACCAACACGACTGCATAAGCGAAGGTCGTCGTCGGTATCGCTTTTACATCGGCACCCAATTTATATACTACCCCCTGCACTCAATCCGCGCTGGCCACCAAGTAGTATGCCATTAGCCCGCTGCAGTAAGGTGCTAATAAGTGAACTTCAGGAGTTGGAGCCCAAGAGCTTGATTCAGGCTTGGCATACTGTAACCCATTCTGGTAAGCCTTCAGATCCTTATTTATCTATGTCAGCACCTGACAGGCCGACAAAAAATTAGCCCAACTCACGGGCACTGCTTGGAACTATCAAACGCCGTTCTGGCCCACCGTAACGCACCATTTTGAATGTACACGACGCCGGCGCCAACCTGTCACACCTTGACTTAACCTCCTCAAATGCGGTATCGTTACCCGCGTTGACACACGGCACATCACCGTAGGAACGAAGACCTTCGGCCATCATCCTACTGCTGCTCATCGGCAATTACGTATGATCCAGCGTATAGCAATGCGACAGGTTTTGAACGCCCGGCCAGCTTACCGTTACTGGCGCAACAGCTGTGTGGCGGCTCTATGCGTCTCCTGACCGTAAACGCCTAATAACTACGTCAGATAGCATCTCTAATTAGGCGCGTTACTACTGTACGTCTTCGACAGACCCCATCATGACGTTTACCAGTTATTCGTGAACACCACGACCTCTTCGCTCGGAGCAGGTGGTGCGTCCTAAATCCATTGTATACAAGTAGAATATGCGCTGACAATCCCGTCCACATTGATGAGCGATTACTGCTCTTTCCTGAGCTTTTCATAATTGACGATGATTGGCAGGAAAGGAGGGGGGTAAGTACCCGTTTCTCACCGGAACACTATCACACACATACGAAAAGCACCAAAAAAGGCACGAGAACGTGCCTCAAATAGTGAATGGGCCAAGATGAAAAAACGCGTCGGTCGGCCACGATTCCCTTTTGCTTCGCGGCGCCGACGCAACCGACAACCAAACTCGGACAGCGAGGAAACCAGTCAAAAAATGCGCGTAAGCTAGAAGCCGAACTGTCGAAAAAACTAAGCGCCAACAAAAAACGCGTCTTACATTTACAATCGCTTCTTCATAGACGCTGCTACTACGGTAGCATCACGTGTGCTATTGCGAGGGCGAGATTTCGAACACTTATAGACCCGAACATACCTAACGCGACTCAGAGTCTCGCTGGGGTAAGGCAACTAGCCATTAGGACATGAAACCGCCCTAATGGCTAGGTGTCTTCCCCAGTGTTTGCTGACGGAAGCATCAATCGCGTTCTCGTTCTCTTGTATTTCGAACTCGCTGACCTCCTATCTCTACCCCGGCAGAAACACGCTGAATAGTCAGTTCGCGAAAAAGGGCATCACTAT